GGACTACAGCATATGCATCCAAAGAAGTGGGCTGTAGTCCACGAAAGCTTATGCTCTAATAAATTTGTTAGTCTCTAAGGTGCCACAAGTACTCCTGTTCTTCTTTTTATGGAGGTGCTCAGATACTCTGGTGATTGGTGCCATAGATAAGTGCTATAAAAATGAATGCAATCTTCTCCAAAGGGTTGTCGCATGTTACTATGGAACTGATACTAACACTTCCCCAATTCAATTCCACATAGTTTTTTTAATTTAAAAATAAAAAGCTAAAGCTTAGAAAAGAGAGTTTTTAAAAGAAATATTTCAAAGTAGGATTTTGTGTGCATTTACTCCACTTGACTTTCTTTTCTTTTTTTTCAGAGCTGTACCTCTTTTGGGATACCTACCTCAGGACTTAATAGGAACCCCTGTTTTATCGCATCTTCACCCAAGTGACAGACCTCTAATGCTAGCAGTTCACAAAAAAAGTATGTTATCTTTTACGTTAACAAATAAGGTAGATTTTTCTAAGAACTCTACAAAATACAAGTTAGAATTCAGGGACCTTAAAACGTTCAAGGAACTAAAGCGGAGACAAGCTGGTAGGTTGTATAGAATTAGAATATGAGCCTCTTGGTTAGTGTCAACTCTTTACATAATTTTTGAAAATGGAATAATTTTTCAGTTATTTTTTTTCTGGGGACATTTTTCTTGGTGCAGTTAGTGTTGCTATGATGGCATCAAGTATTAAAATCTTGTTTTTGTGTTTTTACATACAAAATGTATTTACAAAAATATATATATTTAGGTCTTCTACCTAGTGAAGAATTTTATGTTGGAGAACAAAATTCAGTATTGCAAATAGTCTGATTTATGTTCATTAAAATGTGTTTGTAGATGTTGGTATGGGCAAAGAATATAATTTTAATTTCTATAAATTTAAATATATTCAGTGAAGGTCAGTTCCCTCTGGTGGCCAAACACTTGTAATTTTCCCTTTTGATGTGAAATTACTCAGAGTTTGGTTACTGGATAAACCTTGTCTGCCATATATGTATACAAATTCAATTTTTTTGTTGTGAAATTATTGTAAAAATTGAATAAAAGCATATTAAATATAATTTCCAAATGTGAATATAAAACTGACATTTTTCTAAAACTTACTTTATAGTACTTCAATATGGTGGACAGCCTTTTGACTATTCACCAATCCGGTTCTGCACTAGAAATGGGGAATACATAACTATGGACACCAGCTGGTCTAGTTTCATTAATCCTTGGAGCCGAAAAGTATCATTTATAATCGGAAGACACAAAGTTAGGACGTAAGTAGACAAATTATATTAATTAATGAGGATGGGGGTTCAAGTTTGCGTAGCAACTCTTTTTAAATTAGTGGAAGAGAGCTGTACAAAAATGACAAACTCAAACTGCTTTTTTTTTATCTTGGTATTTGGGTTTTGTGATTGTAAGTGTATATTATAATACATTAAATGCTTTTAACAATAAATTTGTAAGTGCTGCAGGTTTTTCCAATATTGTCAAGAGTTACTTCAGAATGGAGAAGCCATGTTCAGAGTAAGGTTGCGCATTTTATCAGATTCAAAGTTTTTTAGATGCAATAGAATAGGAACAAGAGCCTATTTAATATATATGAAAGATTAATTTAAGTTGTGTTTTACATGCATTTGGAATATTTTGGGTATGATAATTTTTACAGTGGTCCCTTAAATGAAGACGTATTTGCTGCTCCCAACTACACAGAAGATAAAATCCTTCATCCTAGCATTCAGGAAATCACAGAACAAATATACCGACTGTTGTTACAGGTAGGGTCTGGGGTTTTATGTGGAGCTGGGGTCTTGGGTAAGTACTTACATGGCCCCCATTACTGCAGTATCTTAGAGTCTTATATTTAATACATTTTGTCTTCATAACATCCCTTTGCGATAGCAGTGTATTACCCCTATTTTACAGATGTCATTTGTTGAATTATCTAATTCTCTACTGTGTAACACATTCCTTTACACAAATCTACCATCAAAAACTTAGGTCCTTATGATCCCATCTGCATTTTACACCAGGCATCCCACAACCTACACTAGCAAATGTACCCAGCCTTTTACCCTCTCCATTCAATAGTTTAAATGATTACAGTTTACTTTTTAAGAACAGAAAGTTATATTTCCCCCCACTTATCACCATAGCAGAGGTCACAAGAATAAATTGCATTGCAGTCCATTCTCCCAATTCAGACAAAATGGCCTGTTTAGCATCATAAGGAAGAGATCAAAATAACCATTTTCCACCCAAAAGAAAAGTATCTTCCTGAATGACAAATTAGGACAGAGGTCCCCAAACTGTGGGGTACACCCCCTGGGGGGGGGCATGGAGGAACATTCGGGGGGTACAACTGGGGGCTGGGCCAGTTCCCATGGGGGGTGAGGAGGGAGCGCCACCCAGCTTGGCTCCTGGCCCCCAGCCCTGCGCCCAGGGCCCTAGCTGCCGGCCCCAGCTCTGAGAGGGAGGGAGGAGGGAGCGCAGATGAGCAAGGAGAGGCACAAGGTAAAAAGTTTGGGGATCACTGGATTAGGACCACATAAATTCATATACTCCACTAATACGCTCCAAATCAACCAACGCCTGCAGTTCCCCAAGTATCCAACAGATACTAGCACTATTCCATGCATAAGACTGTCAATATATTACACGGGTAGAGTTGAGGTTAATTATTGAATCTTAATGACAGTTTTCCAGACTGCAAGACACTTAGGGTACGTCTACACTACCCGCCGGATTGGCGCGTAGTGATCGATCTATAAGGGATTGATTTATCGTGTCTAGTGTAGACGTGATAAATGGTTCCCTGATCACTCTGCCGTCGACTCCTGTACTCCACCGCGGCGAGAGGCAGAAGCGGAGTCGACGGGGGAGTGGTGGCAGTCGACCCCCGCAGTAAGTTGACCTAAGATAAGTCGACCTCAGATACACTATTCTCGTAGCTGAAGTTGCATAATTTAGGTCGATCATCCCCCATCTCTCTTTCCCCCTCTCTCTCCCCCCTCCGCTTGATATATAGGTATAGTCAAATATATCCCTTGCTGGGGTCTTAAGAAAGCATGTAGCTATAGTATCTTGCTAGTTTTTCTCATTCTGAATTATCAGTATGTGCCTAATTTTTGTTAAAGTTGATTGCTAATATTTTGCAGCCTGTACACAACAGTGGATCTAGTGGCTATGGAAGCTTAGGTAGCAATGGATCACATGAGCATTTAATGAGTATAGCATCATCCAGTGACAGCAATGGGAACAACAATGAAGAGACGCTAAAGGACAAGCATGTAAGTTTTTAATTTTATTTTTTAAATGAAATCTTTGGTACAAAACTCTCTCTAACTGAAAATGATTTTCACTGTTACTGTGGTTTCAAATTCTGGGCTGGGACTGAGGCTACTGCTGCATTGTGGCTCTGGCCAGGTCCCTCCAGCAGAAATGTTGGGGAGACAGTTGGTCCTGTTTTGAGAGGAATTCCTATCCAGGACCAAAAACAGTGGTAGATTAGCCAGTGGGCCAATGGGGCCCATGCCCGGGGGCCCTGGAATAATGGGTGCAGACCCACTCTGCCTGCCCGGCGCTCCTGCTGGGGAGTGGAGTCGGGGCACAGGGGCTTGCCCTGCTCCGCCTGCCCCGTGCTCCTGCCAAGCCCTGACCCCACTTCCTGGCAGGGGCGCCAGGCAGGCAGGGGAAGCCCCTGTACCCTCACCCCATTTCCCCAGTAGGAGCAGGGAGGGGACGGGGGCCTGCAGGTGGAAGGGGTGAGGAGGGGCCCCTATTTGCTCTGGCCCAGGGCCCAACAAAAGCTTAATCTGCTTCTAAGCAGGGACATAGCTTTATTAGTTTGTCAAAACTTTTTTCCTTAATTTTGTAAGGGAAGAGCTAGTTGGCTGGCTCACCTGTTTATGGATGGAAGAAATGAGGGGGAGGAAATCTTTGTGTTTGTCTTCTTCCTGTGAGGATTGTGAGACATTCTACAGAAGAGCAGTGAACTTGTATGATGTGTGGATAGCCTAAGTTGAGGAAATAACCCCCACCACGTTGCAAGTGTGAGACAGTTGCCTAGGAGTGGAGTAGTTTGGGTCTTTGAATGATTGTCCATATGGTTTCCGCTCATGTGCATGGAAAAAGATTATTTTTGAATAGCAGTGTCCTTTGAGGCTGTGCCTGGGCCTTGAGATTCTTGTTGGCAAGGGAACCCAAAGACAGATAACAGTGTCCTACCCCTAGTTAGAGCCTAGCAAATAGTTGATTTTTTTAGTTCAGGGGTGAATCAAAAAGTATGAAAACAACTCATTTCAGTTCAAACTAAAACTGAATTTTTAGTTTTTCTTGCCAAAATAAAACAAAACACTTCTTTGTTTTGGGTTGACTGCAGCATTTTTGTTCAATCTGAAACAAATTTTTATTTATTTTTTTCATATTTTTTTAATTTTTTGTTTTTCATTTTGGGTTATTTTTAGATACTTTTACCTATGAATCTTTTTATTAGCTAAATTTCATAATGAACTGATTTTTTGAATGACAAATTGAAATGTGTTGTTTTGACCTTTTTGACTCTCTTCCATTTTTGTTTGAAACTATTCACTGAATTGGACCTGAATTCACGAATAGTTTTGATGACCCCCAAAAGAGGAATAGTCCTGGGTCTTTTGCTGGCTAGGGCAGACGATGTTTTTGGTGCCCACCTGGAGAAACTGAGCCAAAAAAACCCATGCTCTGACTGGTACCGAGCCCTCTGAATATAGTGCCCAGGACGACTGCTCTGGTTGCCTGGACCTAGAATCATTTTTTTTGGCCAATTTACCATTCACTGAAAAATTTCGCCCCGCTCTAGTGTTTGTGTTCTTAGTGTTGGGCTGGCATTCAAATCTGGACTGCAGAAGTTTGCAGATTCTTTTGAGAAATATTTTAAAAATTTATTTAATATAGCTTCTTACTGATCCTGCTGTTGTGTTACAATTCCTGTGGGCTTTCGAGTATGTCATTGTCTTTATTTTCTACTGATCAGCACAAATATTATGTGCAGGAAAAAGTATCTTAGCATTCACTAAAACCTTATTTAAAGACTTCTACCTTCTCCATCTTGATTTTAACAATTTTTTTTTCTAAACACGAGCATTAGAAATACAGCTTTTTGTTAAAACTATTCTAGTAAGTCCAGAGGCAGGGTCAGAATGATAATACATTTTGTGGGGCTAGACTAAGAATATTAATTAATGCTTTTTAAAAAGGCAGGCAGATCTCTTTTGAAGTGCTATATTAAGCATTATAAAAAAAATTTCAGAGACCATAAATGGGACTGAGTCTGTTGTGTAGAATATTCTTTTTCTTATCTTCCTCTGCCAGCTCAGTTACTAGTTTTAAATGATAAATGGCCCAATATTTGGGAAAAAGTGTTTTGTTCTTGGTAGTTTTGTGGTCCACTAGCTAACACTGGAAGAATTAAATGCAGTCTGAGATGCGACTATGTCAGCAATAGCGTGTAGTAAAATTATGTAAGTCTTTGCTTTGCTTTCTCAGTCAAGAAAAAAAAAATTGTGTTCACCAATCCTTTCAGTATGTGTACACAGCCTGTGGAAATGACCTTCCCAGCTCAGGTCAACAGGTTTGGGTTTGTGAGGCTCGCACTAGCAATCTAAAAATAGCTGTGTGGACAGCAAAGGTCTTTGAAGTTGCGTCTAAGGTTGGAGCTTGGGCTCTGAAGCCTAGGAAGTTCATTAAGGACCCAATATGTATGAATAGGCCAAAATTTTCTGGTGACTGTTTTTTCTCTTCACACACCCCTTGACACTTTTCAGGTGACCTGTCAAGATGCACATATGGCCAGAAATGAAGGACAACATGTTTTCACTGATAGAAGAGTGAAGCTGGAACATAAGAAAAAGTCTTTTGGAGGTAAAGCAGCAAGAGCTTGCATTTTTTTTCTATAAAACAGCAGAATTTCAGATTTTTGTTCAAGCCAGCTGTGTTAAAGTAACTAAATACAATTTCCAGGCGAAATATGACTGTCCGACTATAATACTAACTGGGAAACAACAGAACATTACTTTTATTTAGTACTTTTTATGTTTATGGATGTGAGTTCAGTGTCTGAGAATTGTATCTAATATCTTTTTGGAATTTTCCAGTTAATTGAATATTTTTGTGATGGACAACTTTCAAAGACTTAATAGCTATTTGGATTATGCTATGTTATAAGTAATTTAATTATTATTATCTGTCTCTCTTCTTGCATATTTGTTCTGTTTCTGGAAGTAGTAAATTCCTTCAGACAGGAATTTTATTTTGTACTGCAACATTGTTGGTACATAATATAAGTGCAGTTGTAAGAAGATGTATAGTGAGAGCTTTCCTAGATCCTGTCTTCATTGCACACTATTCTCTTTAGCCTTACTGGGGAGTATTCCACCAAACCATCAGATAATTGCATTTTTTTAGTGGGTATTAGATCATGTCAGCATAGATATTGTAACAAATGCCTCGGCCCAACAACTGTGGTGTGACTCAGAGAAAATATCATGAGGCACATGAATTGAACTCACAGTTTTTAAAGTGAAAAGCTAAATTTAGGAAGGGACCAAACGTTACAAAAACAAGTAAAATATTTTCTTTCTGCTTGTAACTCCAAAAATTCATAGATACTTTCAACTTGTTGTCACTCATAAGATTTAAAATTTGGACATACAAAGAGTTTGGCTATTCCCCTGGTTCCTTAATACTGTACATCCACCATAGTAGTCCTCAGACCTTCATAAATTCTGTTTTGAGTATGCTGACTGAAAATAAGTAGGGGGAGGGATAGCTCGGTTTGAGCATTGGCCTGCTAAACTCAGGGTTGTGAGTTCAATCCTTGAGGGGGCCAATTAGGGATCTGGGGCAAAAATCTGTCTGGGGATAGGTCCTGCTTTGAGCAGGAGGTTGGACTAGATGACCTCCAGAGGTCCCTTCCAGACACGATATTCTGTGATTCTAAGTATGTACTGAATACATCATAATACAAATTAAATTTCAAGTTAAAACTTTGAGGACTATTGGTTTTCTTCTAAATGTGAAAAACATTTATGCAATACTTCTGTTACATGTGACTGGCACAAACATTTTATTGCAACATTTACTGGTTTTACTATATTTTAATGAAGGATAACTTCTGAGTGATTCAGAAACAAGACATAAATTAGGGTTTGATTTACATCTGCTTTATTTTAAGAGTTATGAAGGGTTAACTTGTAATAAGCATGAATCTTTATACAGAAAAAACAAATTGTTCCAGTGTTCGGATGGAAGATATAACTGAAAAGGATACTGTAGCCATTGCTGCTCATAAGAATGTGCTTACAGAGGAACTGGCTTGGAAGGAACAGCCTGTGTATTCTTATCAACAGATTAGTTGTTTAGACAGCGTCATCAGGTAGGCTTCCATCCAATGTGTATTTGTTGGTGTGTTAACTGTTTTTAACCCCTAAGCTTGCAACATTTTTATTTAACTTTGTTAAACACTTATTATATAGGTACTTGGAGAGTTGCAGCATACCTGGCACAGTAAAGAGAAAATGTGAACCTTCATCAAACAATGCTGCTTCACTGAGTTCTGATGATCACAAGCAAAAAACAGCTGATAATGCTGTTAAGCCATCAGGAGGTATTAATTAACGTAATTTTTTATTAGGATTTAGCAAAAACATCAATTCTGTGAAGAACATTCTCAAGTATGGATTTTTTTAGGTGGAGGGGGAAAGAATGCCCATGTTAGATTTTGACAGTATAATGTCTAGCAAGACAATGTGGCAGTGAAATCAAAATTCTAAATAACTCTAGCTGAGGGTAACTTCTGCACTGTCAAAGACAATTGATGAAATGTCTTCTTACAATTTCATTATCTGTGTACACTGAACAAATCACATTAGTGTTAGATTTTTATAAAGCTACATAAAATTGTGAACATTCATGAATGTTTGCAGCTTTTGTAGTGTGATAATCTGTTTGTGGTTAAGATTCCCTTAATTTGCGAGTTTCTGAAGGCCTTGACAGCAAATCACAATAGAAATAACTATAATCTTATTTTGGTTTTGACATTTGAACAGCTGTGTTTTTTATGGTAATCACACAAGTGCATTGAGCATATTAATATACATATATAACTTTCCTGGGGGTCAAAGCTAAAGCAAATCAATTAAGAGGCAAGCATTGGATATGACTAGTTATAAATAATTATACAATTTTAAAGTAACTGAAGATATGTTGTACTTTTAAAAAGAGAATTCTTGATGGCTATCACATCTCCAATAACTACATCTAAGGTTGACATAATTGTTGGAAAAGGGATGGAGGAAGTAGAAAAGGGAGGCAGAAGGAATATATAAATAGGAATGGCAGAATTTTATTTTTATTTTTTACAATTTTGACAGAATATTGTTTTTAAGCATTTGTTTTGATTTTTATCTTTTTAAATTTTCATAATTGTTGGAAGTTGGGGGGGCGGTCAGGCAATTATTTAATGACAGTAGACATTGAGATTCAAAAAGCTAAAGCTTTATAACTGTTAAAACACAAATTGTCAACATCACATGTCAAAATATATCCTTAAATCAAACACTTAGTTCTCAAGAAGCATTCCTACTTTGCCTATCTGTATATTTCAGCTGTTATCGATGGAAGTGTGTGTGTGTGTGTGTGTGTGTGTGTATGTTAGAGGGTAATAGTATGTTGTCTTGGAAGTTGGGGTAATATCTGATATACACATGGCCCTTGCTGAACTATTGGGATTGAACAGAATCTGAATAACTTTGCTGTCTTCTCAAAAGCAATTCAGTCTCTTTGGCATTTTATGACTCAGGCGACTGATTTTTTTCATTCGCTTATTTCATGTTTCATCTAATGAAGTTTTAACTTTTTCTCTTCTAAAGAAGAAAGAGTGCTGTTGAAAACTCATATAGACCCTGCTGTGTTGAAGACATCTGATAAATCAAATGGTCCTCCAGTAGTTGGTGCTCACTTAACCTCTTTGGCTTTACCTGGGAAACCAGAAAGTGTTGTATCCTTCACCAGTCAGTGCAGCTACAGTAGCACCATAGTTCATGTTGGGGACAAAAAACCACAACCTGAATTAGGTACAGTACTTATTATTGAGATGAATAGCTTAATTTAAGACATTTTACCACTGGTTAATAATGGAATAGCTAGTTACAAAGGGATGATGTACGCTTTTTTGTTGCTATGGACAGACATCTTATGGACAGACATCTTATTTTAGAATTCGAGTGCTTTTATCGTAAAGTCTTAATTTTAAAATTAGCAGAATATTTTGCCTCATTTGCCTTAAATATTTTTTCACTTTTGTTCTAGAAATGATAGAAGATGGTCCTAGTGGAACAGAACTCTTAGATAGTCAACTTCTTGTCCCTCCATCCAGCACTATATGTGCAAACCAGGAAAAAGAGCCATTTAAGAAACTGGGACTTACAAAGGAAATCCTTGCAGTGCATACACAAAAAGAAGAGCAGAGCTTTTTGAATAAATTCAAAGAAATCAAAAGATTCAAGATTTTTCAATCCCGCTGCAATTACTACTTACAAGATAGACCCAAAGGACGTCATGGTGAACGTGGTAAGGCAATAGTTGTCTTTTGAACTTTTTTTAACCATTAAAATTATCTGTGAACAGGAAAAAACATATCTTAGATGTTGCAGGTTCAGAAGCTATTGTTAAACCATGGATCACTTTAAGGGTGGTACAAATGCAGTTGTCATTTTTCTTTGTCTAAAGTTAGGCTTCAGTGTTCACTGAACCCTGGATATGAAATCCTGCCCCTTCCAGGAAGCCCAGAACAGAATGGAGAAGGGACACTGATCTGTAGGGCACATGGTAGGAGGAAACAATAGAATGGAACATTATATGTAAAATAGGCATGGATTGTTGTATCTTTTGTATTGATAACTGGCATCTGTTACAAATTGAAAATTTATTGCATTTGTATTTAAAGAATCTATAGCGGGGTGGCCAAACTTACTGGCCTTCCGAGCCGCATACAGCAATCTTCAGAAGTTCGAAAGCTGGAGCACAGCTGCCGGGAGCCAGGGCTTGGGGCTTCAGCCCCACTCCTGCTGAAGCCCCTACCCCATTGCAAGGCAGAGGTCCTGAGTCCTCCCTTTCCCTCCCCCCCATCTGGTAGGCAGAGAATGGGGAGACGGGGGCTTGGATAAATGTACTTATAAGTAATTTTGTAATGATGATGAATGAAAATGATCATGAAAGATGGTCATATTATGGGGTAGGGAACTAACGTATTAGTTTAACTGATTTTAGATCAGCAGTGTCAAACTCAGTCTGAGAGGGCAGAATTCAAGTTTTAATTATGGCTCATGTACCATGTAGTTATTGACATCTACATACTATGCACAATCCACAGCAAAGTGTTTAACACCACTGATAATCAAGAAACTTTCTTCCCTGCCTTCTGGCAAGTGTGCGCCAGAATGGAGATTTTCAAATGTGTGAAATTTATGAATTTCTTTCATCTGTCAATCCAGTTGACTACTGACACCAGTTTAGTTCGTAACAAAAAGAAAATGTTAGTGTAGTCTTCCACATAAAATAAAGCAACACACTCTTCTACAAAAAAAAAAAAATCACCATACCACTTCTCCTAGTTTTGCTACATCTTTTGTTCTGGGTTTATTCCCTCTTTTGCTTGCTTGAGAGTCTTTAGAGTTTTCTCCCAAATTAAAGGCCTGTGTGGCAGTGATTCTCTAAAACAAAGAGGGCTAGAATTGCCTTTCTGCAGTTGCTGTTTTTATTGGCCAGAGAGAATTTTAGAGGTACTCACTCCTCAAAAACAAAAGTCACTGCATCAAAACTGTTGGCCAAAGGGGTGAAGGACTACATTTGGGCACAAAATGCACTATTCTTTTCCCCTCCTCTTGATTTTCCTTTCTCTGCAATTGTGCTAATACAGTTGTTCCTGCAAACAGGGCCGGCTCTGGCTTTTTTGCCGCCCCAGGCAAAAAAGCCTCCCGCTGCCCCCTGCTGCCCGGCGGGGAGCGCGGCAGGGGAGGGCGCCAAGCCCGGCCGCGGCCCCGCTTTCCCTGGCCCACCGGAGCGCCATGGGGAGGGCGGCGAGCCCGGCCGGGGCCCCGCTCTCCCCGACCGGCGGGAGGGCGGCGAGCCCGCTGCGGCTCTGCTCTCCCTGGGTGAGTGCCGCCCCCCTCCAGGTGCTGCCCCAAGCACATGCTTGGTGCCTGGAGCCAGCCCTGCCTGCAAAGTTTCTGTGCCAGAGGCGGAAGAGTGAACCTGACTACTCCCTAGTCAGTTCCATTCTGTTGGAATAGAGCAACAGACACAATTTTCAGCAGCTTCTGAGAATGACTTGAAGGGACACTTCACAATTTGATGTAATTATTTCCCCACTCTGTTCCAGGTGCTCGTGGGCAAAGAAATGGTACTTCTGGAGTAGATCAGTCCTGGAGGAAAAGTGGAAAGAACAGGAAATCGAAACCAAAACGAATTAAACCACAGGAATCCTCTGACAGTACAACTTCTGGACCCAATCTCCCTCATCAATTTCCTCTGCAAGGCCTAAATAGTACAGCTTGGTCACCATCAGATACTTCTCAAGCTAGCCATTCAGCCATGTCTTTCCCTGCTGTTATGCCTGCATATCCACTTCCGGTTTTTTCAGCAGCAGGAACTGTGCCACCAGGTCCTGAGGCATGCCTTTCTGGTTTCAGTGATTTACCAGATTCTGGAAATAATTGTCCTATGCAGCCATCACAGTTCTCTGCACCTCTTGTAACGCCAGTGGTAGCACTTGTGCTCCCCAACTACATGTACCCTCAAATGAACAATAATTTACCCCAGACACTTTACAATGGCCAGCCCAACTTTTCTGCTAATCCTACTTTCTCTTCACAGTCAGTGTTTTCAGCACTGCCGCCATTAGCTACCCCAAATCCTTTCCCTCAACAGACATTCTTTCCAACACAACCATTCCATTATAATACACCAGCAGAAAGTGAAAAGGCTCCTGCCATGGAATTACGAAATGATCCATCCCGTTCCTCCACACCGCAGTCTCTTGGTCCTCAAGATCAGGCCTCACCACCTTTGTTCCAGTCAAGGTGCAGTTCTCCTCTACAGCTAAACCTTCTGCAATTGGAAGAAACCCCCAAAAGTGCTGAAAGTGGAGCTGCTGCTGGTTTACATGGAGCTTTAATTGAAGGAGGAGCCACAGACAAACCCATAACTGATGACAGCAGCAGAAAAGGATCCTCTCCTGTAAGTATTGCATGTAGTTTCCAGAAAAAAATACATCTTTACACTTTGAACATAGCTATTCTTCATAGTTCATGTGCAGAAATACTTCAGAAAAGTTTAAAATTGAGTTTATTGTCCTAACAGTAATTTATGTAACATCAGTTTTAAAGCTGTACAATTGGCTTTTTTGCTGCAGAGATTCAATGTAATCTCTTTAACCCTACCCTCAAGTTTAGGTTGGAAATTCAGACTTTTCCAGTGAGTTCATTCTAGTGAAATAAATGACTTTAAACTTACTCTTTCCCTGAGGAAAAGAAGGGAAATGAAATTTGTTTTCATACTGAACAAAAATAGCATGCTGTTTTGTTACTACTTTTTTTTTTTTAAACGGCTTTAAAAAGTTTATAATATAAAGTTAGTAGAAGAGGTTTGGAAATGTATTATGTATATCGCAAGACCGGTTACATTTTATTCAGTTAATATGAACACACAATATTCTTTTCAAAAAGAGAATTGAACCTGATTCTAAGAAACCATCTTAGCAACTTAATTATTTAAACTGTTTGGTTACAAACTTTCAGGGGCAAATAAGTGGAAATGTAACTGTGAAGTAAGCACACATTTTTGTAATTTTAAAATCCAAAGTACAGTACATTGGCAAATGAAATGAGGAAAATAATTAATATATGTATCTCTACACCATTTTAGCTTTTCCTTGGTCAACTTGGTATAGTAAAATTGTATGGACCATCAGTCAGTTTCCCCTTTACCTCAGGTTCCTTAAATTTCAAGGATCAACATGTGGGTATTGATTTTGTTGAATTTAAACTCTGAAAATCTGAGGATCTCTGTTGGAATAATGTTTGCTATACAGGATTTAACAACACTGAGGTAGGCTAATAGTGAGGTGATTTGGACCCCTGTTAGCCCCTTAAAAATATATGTTGTGTGTGCGTGCGTGCGTGCGCACGTATGCACGTACCCAAGATATGTATACTGTTACTTGTGTACTTATGAATCATCAATATTACGCAGTTAATTGTAGTAAATTACATAGCAGTGTTAACCTTTATGGAATCCCTAAAAATAGTTATTGGGAATGTGGATTTTCTGATGATGTAGTTGATGCAAAATGCATTGATGCTAATGCATATGCCCTGGCATTTCTATCTCCAAAATGTTAGGACCTTGCCATCACCCAGTGTTTTATTTTCAACACTAAGAATCTCTGATGCATTTTACTTTAGCGCTCATTGGGAAATCCCAGTCTATAATGCAAAGGAGTTATACATATTGGTTAACTTTTGCTTTATAGAATTGTTGTCTTTGTTTGTGTGTGTTTAAATTATCTGTGGAGCTATAGCCATTTTCTTGGCATATTAAGCAATATCCAGATACCTCAGTGTTGGTGCAGAGAGAGAGCGCACAATGAATGCCATGTGATTTTATAAGTCTTAACTAGTTTAAGCAGACCATGCAATGTTCTTCTCTTAAAGGTTAATTAGATTAAAACACTAAAAAAACATAGACTAATCCATATTTAGGGTTGGGCAAAATTTTCTGAATTTAGATCTTTGGATGACCCTTTTTTTTTTTTTGGTAAAATTCTGTTTTAGACAAGGGGAAAAAATAACGTTTTTTTTTTAACACTATTCTACC